AGGAGAGGAGAGGAGAGGAGAGGAGAGGAAAGGAAAGGAAAGGAAAGGAAAGGAAAGGAAAGGAAAGGAAAGGAAAGGAAAGGAAAGGAAAGGAGGGAGGATGAGGAAGAGGAGAAGGAGAGAGGACAGACAGAGACAGAGACAGAGACATTGGTTGAAATGAAGCCCAATGTCAAAATATTTGCCTAGCATGTGAGGTGAGGTCCTGGGTTTGATTCCTCCTGCCACAAAAAATAACAGAAAAAAGTGGAAGTAAAGAAGGAAGGAAAGAACAGAGGGAGGGAGGGGAAGAGGGAAGAACTTGGGTTTGATTCCTCCTGCAGAAAAAAATAACAGAAATAAAACAGACAAAAATTCAAAACAACTAAAAAATACTGCAGAATTATGGAAAAGAAAGATCCCTTAAACATATACACTGCATATCGACATTCTGGGTAGTGGGTCTCGGCACCACAGGAACGCTACTGCTATGGAAGGCAACAGAGAACCAGGTGAGCCTGATTTTGTGTGAAGACAGAAAAATATATCATAAACGTGAATTTGAAATGTATTTACATAAACTCATTGGCCAGAACAAGAATGCCTTGGAATCTTGTGAAATTCCTCCCTGGGCCGTAGGTTATTCACGTGTAAAGTGAAGTTAACTCCACTTGCCCTACCGAACTTAGAGAGATGCTACAAGATTTAGATAAGAAAATGGATGGGAAAATACTTTGTAAACTGTACAGTGCTATAATTATGGTGATTTTCATAAATAGCATTAATTATAGCAAGGAGTAACTATAAATTAATAGGAATAATATAGCTATTGTTAATTATTCTTCTTCTTAAGGGAAGCATCATTCGTTAAGTATTCCCTTGGGGTATCTGGAAAAAGACAGGATATAATCAGGTCCTCAATATCTGTGCTTTACCATAGCAGAAAGTACAACTGCCTAAGTGCATGATATCTAACCACAGAGACTAAAAGTCACTAAATTACCCTGAGCTATACAATGAAACAAGTAATTATGGAGTGCAACCAGCCCATGCTTGTAGGACTTCAACTGGTTTCTAGATCCTTATTTTCTCTTCTAAATGGGATCATTCCCCATTTTCAGTTTCTCACATTACCCTGTTGCAATTTATTAACAGGTTTCAGACTAATGCTATGGGATTTCCACGAACAACCACCCCCATGTGCTCTACCTTACGATAACAGCTTTGTTCTACTTTTAATCCCTAGTGTGAATAAGAACAGGACTCTTTCGCACTCCCAATTATCTTCTTTATGTCTTGGTTCAAATAACTGAAGTCCTGCCCAAGTTCCCACACCAACCCTTTTCTTGGTACTTTCTCCTGCTCTCTTAGCATCTTTAAATTTATGGAAATTCAGTTATACTCAGTATTTTAAATTCGATGTTAGAAACCAGTCCTATAACAAGATAACAGAATTCTACAGATTTACTAGTATGTCTTCTCCAATACTATAGTTCTGCCAGTCACATGATGCCGATACCGTCAGATGTCAAATAACAAAAGTTCCTGGCTAACTAGGCTTAATTTTTTTTTTCTAGATGTCGCAGGAATGCTAATAAAATGTTCACTGTTACAATGAGAATTTTCACACTCTGAAATATTTATTTTTAAAGTATATTATTTATTTATTGTTATTTAGAGAGAAAACAATAAAAAAGAACAATAAAATAGAGTTTTAGGTGAGGAGGAGAGTTACAGTCCTAAATAATAAGATTCAACTGTCTACGTCTGCATTCTGAAAAAAAAGCTAGCATACCGATCATTTATTATAGAAATCAATTCTAAGACTCAGTACTGAGGTAACAGGATAGATTAAATAGGGTAAATTACACAAAGAAAGGAGAACCCATGTGGAACGGCTACATGGACATGGTCACCAGTGTGGGCAACGAAGTCTCCGTTGTCCTCCATGCCCTCTGTGGCATCCTATAAAATAGTCCTTAGATCTTTTCTGCCTTACGGGTGGAAAAGAGGATTATTTAATATCATTACTATGATGAAGATGAAGAGGATGATGATTACTATTCCTATTTTCAGAATATAGTTCTCCATTGGCTTAGATTTGCTACAGAATTTTTCAACTCTGTCTTACCTGCCCCAGGAAGTAGATGACAGAGAAGGAAGGATATGAAGACAGGTGCTACCAGGTCATCCATGTGCAGGGCTGGTCACCATAGCGATGGCTGGCATGCAAGGAGAGGATGGCACAGTGGGCACTGTGGCACAAAAGGTACTCAAGGCTGTATCTCTCACTGAAAGCCACAAATTCCCCATGAGAAAAGCACCCACAAGATGCCATTTACAATAAGAAATATATTTTATTAATTCCATAAATATATATGTGTAATAATGGATCAGCTAATCTCATTTGGAACTCATGGTGAGTCGGACATTTATAATTCTTAGTGCTGATAGTGGAATCACAGTGATGACTTCCCACTGTAAAGCCATGAAAATAAAACATAAAACAAAAACCCCAAACTAAAATAGTCAGCGTTTGAATGAAATAAGGTTAGGTCATTTTCAAGTGTCTGACTTTAGATGGGTCTTATTTTAGCTTAAATGTTGCTAAC